AGAACACCTTGGGTATATGAACCTACATTTTCAATGATTCACTTTGTGAAATCTACCAATACAGATCAGGCGTTTCTGATGAAATTTAGCATCTGAATTGAGACATGCTGCATGTGTAAAATACAATGGCATTTTAGAGGCACAGTGTGAAAAAAATTTTAGAGGCATAGTGTGAAAAAAATCCTGTAGAGTATCTCATTAATGTTTTCTTGGTATTGTTTACATGTTGAAGTGAAGTTTTTGGATACACTGGAGTAAATAAAATATATTGAATTTCATGTTTCTTTTAGAGACCTTTTTAGAGAAAATTTAAAACACTATATGTAGCCCACATATTTTTATCAGATGTTGCTGCTGGAGATCCTGTACACTGTGGCTACTCAGAGGGATGAGCTATAATTTGCCATTGCCCTTGACCTGCCAGTGTAGTAGGCAGAACTGAATACTTCTTACTGCATTCTTTGTTCAGGTTTTAGTCCTGGTGCCACCTCCTCTGGGAAGCTCTCCCTAATTCTCCCAGAGCAAGTCAAATAGCCCATTTTTATGAACTCTTGCAGACCATGGAGCTCCCCTTTACAGCGTCCTCCTCAGTTATACTTTTCAGTTGATTTGGGTAGTTAGTAGTGACTACTAGTTTGTGAGATCCAGAGCAGTATCTGTCCTGTGCCCTCTAGAACTTCCAGTACCTGCAGCAGCGTCTGGCTTGGCGCAGGTTCTCAAGCAGATATTTGCTGAAGGAGAGTGAATGAAGGAAATTCTCTTCAACGAGCTTTCTCTGGGTTGTCATGGCATGGCAAGCATTTCATTGTTTTCTTAAATCCAGTTCACCTGCTTCTTCATTTGGCACATTTTTGAAAAAACGAACATGGTAAAACTACCACAGCAGTTATAACACAGACTTTGCATTCGATACAGGATTGCAATCTTACTGGCACCACTTCTGATGGCCTGTGTGTGTCTGTGAAAACGGTATCTCCTCTGGAGATGATGTTTAGAATACAACAAGAGAAAATATTGAAAATGTTGAATTCATCCACTACAGAGCAGGAGCCAAGAGCTTTTCCATACAGGGTGTTCAGAAAATATTAGCCGTCATCAGGATCCGTGCCTCCCCCCACTTCTCATTGTCTTTCCCTACCTGTGTGTGGAGTGACAATTAGCCAGGTGTCACTTATTAAGAACTTGAAGCGTCCTTGCTTTCCAACTAGGGGCATCAAAAGCCAGCAAAGGCCCTCCATCTATCTCTGGCAGCATTTCTGACATCCTCTGGGGAATTTCTGTCCCAACAGTAAATGTGTCTGTTGTCTAAGGGTGATAGGGACATATATGGGATATATATGATATGTGTGTGTATATATATACACATATCATATATACGTGTATATATCATATACACATATATATATCATATATATACACATATATAGGGACATATACTCAACTTTAATGAGTTGAGTTAGAGTCATTGGAAATTTAAAAGAGGGCAATTCTTTATTGTCCCTTGTAATTATAATCATTTAATCTTTTTTATAACAACTTTATTGAGCTATAATTCAACAGCGTGCAATTCACCCATTTAAAATTTACAGTTCAGTGGTTCTAAGTACATTCGGAGTTGTGCAACTGTCATTACAATCAATTTTAGAACATTTGCATCGCTTCCAAATGAAATCCCATCCTTGGGCTGTCACTCCCTAGCCCCTCGAAACCACTGACCTGTTTCTGTCTCTGTAGAGTGTCTGTTCTAGACATTTCATGTAATGGAATCAGATCCCATTGTGGTCTTTTGTGAGCGGACGCTTTCATTGAGCATCATGCTTTCAAGGTTCACACACACTGAGGTGAGATTCTGCATCCTTCCTTGTTGTGGCTGAATAAATCTTCCGCTGTTTTGTTTGTTCATTCATCAGTTCATGGGCATTTTGGCTGCTTCTGCTTTTTGGCTACTAAAAATAATGTTGCTTTGGGCATTTTATATAAGTTTCTGTGTGGATGTGTGTTTTCATTTCTCTTGAGTGTATACCTAGAAGTGGAATTGCTGGGTCATATGTTAACCATTTGCTTAACTTCTTTAAAAAAATTAAGTTAATTTAATTTTTTAAATTTATAAATCATGTTTATTCTATAACAGTTGTCCCAGTTTTTACCCCTTTACCCCCCTCTACCCATCCTACCCCCACCCCCCACTCCCACAGTGAGTTCCCACTCTGTTGTCCATGTCCATGGGTCATTCATACATGTTCTTTGTCTAGTCCCTTCTCCTTTCCACCATTTTGAGGAACTTTTTGAGGAACTGCAACACAGTTTTCCACAGCAGCCACACCATTTTGCATTCCCATCAGTAATGTATGAGGGTTCCAATTTCTCTACATTCTTGTCAACACTTACTATTGTCTGACTTTTTGATTTTAGCCATCCTAGTTTGGGTGAAGTGCTATCTCATTGTGGTTTGGTTTTGCATTTCCCTGTTGTCCAACAGCTGGTTAATCTTTGAATGCATGTTCACATCTGATTTTGATTCTGTCACAACCTGGAGAGGATGGTGGACAGGTGGTCTTTGCACCTGCACCAATTTCGTGTGTGTGCGTGTGAGAAATAATAGAGGCTCAGGCTTGAGGAGCCCAGAGCTATGGCTGAGTCAAAGTTGTATTTTGCCAGGTAAAACACAGGACACCCCGTTAAATTTTAATTTCAGATAAACAACAGGTACTTTCTTAGGACAAGCATATCCCATGCAATGTTTAGGGTATACTTATCCTAAAAAATTACTCATTGTTTATATGAAATTCAAATTTAACTGGGTGTCCTGCATTTTTATTTGCCAGATCTCACAACCCTGCCTGTCACTGGTGGGCTGTGTGCCCTTGGGTGATTGGTTTTGTCTCTCAGAGGTCAAGTTTCCCATCTGTGTGGTTGGGATGGAACTTGTTGAGAGGTGTCAATGATTCAGTACCTGTAGTGTTGATATGACTGTAACAGGGAGCTTTACACTGGGCCGGGGAGGGGGGTGGAGCGTGAGTGTGTGGGGCCTGAACTGGTGTCCTTGTCTTCTCCAAGTTGCCTCCCAATTTCCTAATGAGGGAGGGGGCGAGTATGTGTCTTCTCTTGACTTAGCCTAATCTGTTCGGAATGTGACTCAGGAACATTGCTGCTTTGTTTTTCCCAATTTTTTGCTTGGCTGTTTTCTTTCTAATTTGTGCTTCTTTTGCCAGTTATTCTCAGGATTCATTTAAAAGAGGATTTTCTACTCTCCTCCAGAACAGTGTGTTTGCCTCGGGACAGTAGGGGCAGGGGTAACTACGCCTTGGAGTACAATAAGAAGGGGCTCTGTACTGGATCTTATTGTCGTGGCGCTGAGGGCTGTGTGTGTGTGTGTTTGGCAAGGAGAAGCTGTCTAAAGACTTTGAATCTGGTGAATGTTAACTCAGATATAAGGGGCGCAAGCACAGGAGAAAGATCCTAATAGGTGTATGGAGGAAAGGAAAACAGAGAAGGCTGCCTGGAGAAGGTGGCATTTGAACTGGATCTTGAAGGATGATGGGCTGAATTGAGAAATAGGGAGCTAAGATATAAAGGACCCTGATAGCCAACATGGCAAGTACTCCCCTGTCCAATGCATTTGGCTACTGGAGTAGCCGCCAGTCTCATGTGTATTTGCATTTAAAATAGCTAAAGTAAAATTAAATGTTCAGTTCCTCAGTCTTATTAGCCACATTTCAAGTACTTGAGAGCCACAAATGGCTGGTGGCTTCCAGAGTGGATAGTGTGGATATAGGACATTTCCATTACTGCAGAAAGTTGTTGGATGGCATTGGAATAGGGCAAGAGTGGCCAGACTATAGCCTGAGGGCAGAACTCTGGCCTGCTGCCTGTTTTTGAAAATAAAGTTTTATTGGAACACAGCCAATTGCACTTCTCATATTGTCTCTGGCTGCTTTCAGGGTGACAGAGTGCAGTAGTCTCAGTGCAGGCTGACCACAAAGCTGAAAATATTTATTATTTGAGCCATTATAGAAAATATCTTCCCATGCTTGGTTTAGGGGAATTGAAGGCACACAGTCTAGAGATAACTGATAATGTTTGGGAGAAATAAACAGTAACAACATAGCTGACATTAATAAGCACCTACTGTGTGCCAGGCACTGCTTGTGGGCCAGCTCTGCGTTACGTTACTCCCAGGCTGTGCTGCAGGGGGGACACAGAGCCGTGGGCTTTGTGAGAGTGGCGGGCAGGTCGGGTTAGTGTGGCCTGAGGAGGGAGGGGCACAGCCTCAAAGGACGCGGGAGGGAAGTGCAGGGTCACGGGGAGCCATGGAGGCTGCCAGAGCCTGGGAGGGACCACCTTCAGGAGAAAGGGTGGGCGCGCTGGCTCTGTGTGAAGGAGAAAGCAGACTCTCTGGGCGGCCCCTGCCACTCCCAGGCAAAGGGTCACGAGGCCTTGGCTGCCTGCCTGGGAGGAAGGCAAGTCAAGGAGAGTCAGAGGGGTGAGAAAACCGACCAACAAGCTCATCTCTCCTTGTGGGCACCTTGATCCCTGCAAACCCACTTCCTGAATATCTTCCCCTGTGACTCAGTGGAGACAGCTCCCCTGTCCCCTCCTGCACCTGCCGCATTGCTCAATCAATGCCTGTAGTCCCAGCATCTATTATGTCACAGTCCACGCAGTGACGCTAAGGCTTCTAACAGGTACTGCCAAAGGAGTTGTTTTCTTTGCTTTTCTAGTAATTACTTATACATAGAAACTACAGGAAAAGTCACTACTGAGGGTTGGCTATTGACTTTGTAGGTCTCAGTGCAGAATGAAAACGTGGGGTCCTTTGCTCAAACATGATTTAAAGATTTGAAGATGGATGGGAGAGGATTAAGCCAAGGGCAGGACCCTTATGAGCAAGTTGGGACTCAGATCAGATGCCCATGAAGCTGGCCCTGCCACTAATTTTTATAACCCGCCCATTGTGCGTTTGCTCACCTGTCATGCTTTCTGCATATTTTCACTTGCAGTGTGTCCCGGCATGGACATCCGGAACAACCTCACGAGGCTGCATGAGCTGGCCAACTGTTCGGTCATTGAAGGACACTTGCAGATACTGTTGATGTTCAAAACGAGGCCCGAGGATTTCCGAGACCTTAGTTTTCCCAAACTCATCATGATCACTGATTACTTGCTGCTCTTCCGGGTCTATGGGCTGGAGAGCCTGAAGGACCTGTTCCCCAACCTCACGGTCATCCGGGGCTCCCGTCTCTTCTTCAACTATGCTCTGGTCATCTTTGAAATGGTTCACCTGAAGGAACTTGGCCTCTACAGCCTGATGAACATCACCCGGGGGGCTGTCCGCATCGAGAAGAACAATGAGCTCTGCTACCTGGCTACAATTGACTGGTCACGCATCCTGGATTCAGTGGAGGATAATTACATTGTGCTGAACAAAGACGACAACGAGGAATGTGGGGACATCTGTCCAGGCACTGCGAAGGGCAAGACCAACTGCCCTGCCACGGTCATTAATGGGCAGTTTGTCGAGCGGTGTTGGACTCACAGCCATTGCCAGAAAGGTACGCTGGGGTGTTCAGGGTTTGAAGCTGTTGCTATGCCTTGTTCCTTAGAGAAGCTGGGGGCATTTTTGAGACAGGGGATGGCAAATCTTTTCTGCAAAGGCTCAGATATTACATACTTTAGACTTTGCAGCCTGTATGGTGTCTGTCGCAGTGACTCAGCATTGCCGTTGGAGTGGGAAAGCAGCCACAGGCAGCACAGAAATGAGTGTGGCTGTGTAAGAATAAAACTTTATTTATAAAACCTAGTGGTGGGTGGGATCTTCCGATGCCTTTGCTAGATAGACGGTTGAATGTCCCTCCTGCTTGAGAGAGGGTAGGAGTGGGTGAGTGTAGAACTTGTGGTAGAAAAAACAAATTTATTTCTTATCTGGTTGTAGAAGTCACATTGCTCATGAAAGACATTTGGAAAGCACAACACATAAAGAAAAAAATTAAAACAGCAATCCTTACTCCACAGTTACTAGAGTACTTATTTCCTTCTAGTGGTTTTGTTGTGTGTTAACAACTACTTACCTTTACCTTTTGTTGAGTATTTAGATTCTTTCCAGTTTTCACAAAGAGGGGGACAGACATTGTGGGGTCAAAGCTCTATTGAGCATTTGTATCTTTAAGGCTTGCTTTTCTAGAAGTGAGGTTTCTGTGTCAAAGGTTCTTGATCCTGATTGCCCAGTGGCTTTCCGGAAATGTTGCCCCAGTGGCACTCCTCCTAGCATGGGCCGAGAGGGAACACCTTGGCCAGCTTCGAGTCATTGGAAACATCTTTCATAACTCACTGAGGGCGGAGCTGATGTGTTGTCACTACTCTATTTGCATTTCTTTGATTGCTATCAGGGTTGGATCTTTTAAAACATATTTGTCCTTTAGGTTTTCTCTTCCTGTTCATATCCTTTGTTTATTTTTTAGGACCTTAGTGGTTTTTGAATTGTTAATCTGTAGGCAGCTTTCATAGATGCAGACTATTAACCCTTTGCTAGTTGTGTTCTTAGGCATTTTTCTTCAAATGTGCTAGATGTCCGTTGCCAGAGAAGCTTGGGGTGCCCATGGAGCTCAGAGTCGGATTTGCACGTTCCTCTCATGTTACTTGATGCTTAGAGAGTCCCTTTGTATCAAAAAATGAATGTTTTTTTTCAAGTTTTCTATTTCAATTATTATCATCAAAAGTATTCACCCAGGACGTTTGGTATCTATTTGTGTGCATGATTCGAAGGGGTGTCCATTTTCCCCAAAATAGCAAGTTGGGGTCAAGTGCTGTTTAATGTAGAAGTCTACCCCTTCATTGTTGATTCGGGGTCTGGTTCTGGGTATTTGGAAATACATCTGTCTTTTCTGGCACCAGGGCCATTACTGTTCTAATCATTGTAGTTTTATAATGTTTTGACATCCAGGGAGACAAGTCTTCCCCCCCCCACCCCACTGTGTCTCCAACCCCCCCCCCACCCCCACTCATTATTTGTTTACTGTCTCATGGACTCTTTCCTACATTGTGGAATTCCCTGGGGAGAATTAGTGTTCATGAGATCGAGGTGGTAGAATGTGAGTGGGTTGTTGTATCACAAAAGACAGGTGAAGGGAGAAAGGAGGGTCTTCTCACCCGCGCCCAAAGCTGCCAGGAAGCTGTGTAGGGTGAGTCCTGAGTAGAGCCTGTGGAGTTGTCAGTGAGGACTCCATCAGAGCCCCAGAGAGGTACCTTTCCACTGCACAGATGTTGGATGTAGGAAACATCTGTGAGATGGTGGGAGAGCTGAGAGTGGAGACCACCACACCTCTTCTGAAAGGTTGGGCAGTGAAGGGAAGGAGAACCTGGGGGATTGTGGTTGGGGGAGGGGATGGTGGTTGTATTGTGGAGAAATTTTGAGAATGTTGATAGGTCAGGGCAGAGAGAAGCTAAACTACAGCTGCAAGGGGAGCTTTGTTATCCTTGCTTTAGAGACCAGAGAGGTTACTTAATTAGCCTAAGACCGCACAGCTAATAAAAGAAACTGGGATTTGCACCAAGTCTGAGACACAAAAAAGCATGTGTGTGCTTTTTTGGGGGTTGTGCCCTCTGTTTAGAAACAGGAGAGCCACTTCTGGATGGGGCACCAGGGAAAACAGTGAATACTTTTATCCCAAGGCTGAGTTCTCCAAATTTAGGAGCTTGTTTGAAATTCTCTGGGCTCATATGTCTTGGGATATAATTTAAGACATTCTTCTGTAGGTTTATTTATGTATCCATTTTAGTCAAAATATCCAGGACAGTGTTATCTGCAAATGGCCCTGATATTTTCAGCAGTTTTTTTTTTTTTAAACCTTTTGCTCTTGAGAACAAAGCCTGCTTTTCCAGCAGTGGGGGTTTTGTTACAGGGGAAGGTGCTGCTCCACATGTGTCGCTGCAGCCGACACCTGCTGGGATTCTAAGTTCCTGGCACTTGGCCACTGTGTTGGCTGTTCCTGGTTCATAATTAGTGGTGGGTCCCATAGGGGAAGCATCGCTTTGTCCTGGTGACAGATGTCTACAAACAATTGTTCTTTGAACTGTTTTGCCATTGTCTGTTGAGTATATATAACTCAACTCTGGCTTAAAAAATTTTTTTTTATTGTGATAAAATACACATAATGTAAAATTCACCATTGTGACCATTGTAAGTGCACAGCTCAGTAGCATTGAGTGCATTCGAGCGTCTTGCCGCTGTCACCAGCATCCGTCACTATGACTTTCTCATCCTCCCAAACTGGAGCTCTGTCCCCGTTCAACACTCACTCCCCACTCCTTCCCCTCCCCCTGCCCTCTGCCCCCTCCCCCACCTCCTCTCTGGCCCTGTGGGTCTGACTCCTCTAGGGACCTCCTGGGACCGGGCTCACCCATTATTTCTCCTTTTGTGTCTGGCTTCTTTCACTGATCATAACGTCCTCGAGGTTCATCCATGTTGTAGCAGGTGTCGGTGTTTTCTTTGCTTTTTAAGGCTGAATAATATGCCCTTGTGTGGATGGACCACATTTTGTTTATCCATTTATTCATGGATGGGCTCTTGGGCTACTTCCATGTTTTAGCTGTTGTGATTAATGCTGCTATGAACATGGGTGTGCATTTCCAGTTTTTAAAATGCTTGCCTTACCTGTTGTTGTAGCTTCAGAAATCATATTTAACATTGCCTGGGACTTTTGAATGCCAAGCAGACTGAAGTGAGCCCTTAGAGGATACTCCCCAGTCTTAGGAGACAGACATCTAGTCCCCTAGAACACTCTCAAACACCCCCTTGAACATCCATAGACTTTGTCTTCTTCCTGCATGTTTGCCAGGCTGTGGGAGCTTCTGGGGACTGGTCAGCATTTGGGATGAAGGTATTGGGTTGTCCTCTGGACCCAGTTTAAGCGTTCTCTAAAGTGCCCCTTTTTCCACCTGTCCCCCAAACAGTAATGCTTTAGGCAAGGTTCTTAATGGCTAGGGTAATTAAAAGGAAAAAGTCACTGTGCTGTGCGGCTCAAGATTTTTTTTCGCCATCACTCTTTTTATAGATTTTGGGTGAAGATACCAGAAAAGGCCAAATGCAAGGAACTGGGTACCCACAGGGAGGAGAAGCTTGATCAGGAGACATGTTTATTGAGAGCTGACTATGTGCCAGGCATTGGGGGTCTTGGGAGAGGATCTTTGAGTGGCAAATACAGGCACTGAATACATGACTGAGTACCCTTGTGGGGAGAGTCACAACAGCGAGATGTCTGTGGGTAAAAGCGTGGTTGAAGCTTTAAACTAGTCTTTGGGGTCAGAGAATGCGTGTGTCATTCAGGCCTTGAAATTGGCCTCGCTTGGTCTGGTCCAAAGTGGTTACATGAATGCTGGGGGTCTGGCAGAATTTTTTTTACCTTTTTATTTTATTTTACTTACTCATTTCTAGAGAGGGGAAGGGAGGGCGAAAGAGGGAGAGAAACATCACTGTGTGGTTGCCTCTCATGCGCCCCCTGCTGGGGACCTGGCCTGCAACCCAGGCCTGCGCCCTGACTGGGAATGGCACCAGCGGCCCTTTGGTTCACAGTCCGGCGCTCAGTTCCCTGAGCCCCACCCGCCAGGGCCAGGCGGTCTGGCAGAATTGCTTGGAGTCCTGTTCAGCCATTCTGGGTCAAGCTTTAGTTTCCTCATTTGAAAAATGGGGAAAATTACGGGACCTGCCTGTTACCGTTGTGGTTCAGGGGTTCAACGAGATGGTGCAGAAGGTGCACTTAGCCCATTGCCTCTGCGAGTGTTCTGGAAGCTTCTCCTAAGTGCCATGGGTCCACCACTTTCTGGGCAGACAAGCTGCTGAGTGAATGAATACCTGCCAAGTCTTGGCTGCATTTCTCTCTTTAGTCTGAGGTTAGGCAGAGGGTAGGCATGTCTATGATGAAGGTTGGGCACTGGACCTGCTGCTCCAGAGGGAAGACCACTCTGCTCACTGGTTGCCTCAGCTCCCAGTGCTCTGGAGACCTTGAGCTGCGCTTTTAGGGGTACTAGAAACCACAGGGCTCGCTTGACCAGCTGCTCTAGCCAAATCGACTGGCGTTGTTTCCCTGGGAGGCCACCCAGCTGCTTGCTGCCAGTCAGAGGGGTGGGTGAGGCTGGGCATGCTGGGTGCCAGAAAGATGGCTGGCGACGCCACAGACAGACGTCAGCAGGAAAGCAGAAGCGGGGAGCAGAGGGGACAGGCCCTCCTCCCTGAGTCTGGATTTCCATTTGTGTTTCAGATCCTCTGCAAGTTTGGCGCTCTATTTATATTAAACATTGAATATTTAAATGCATGCCTACTCTTGAAGGGTTTGCTTTGAAGCAGAAGTTTTAGCTTCATATTGAAACTCTTTATTCCTTCTTTCATGGTTTAGCTCTGCCTTTAATATTTTAACAGTCAGAATCTCCTTGGCAACCCATGCTTGTTGTGTGCAGGGCGCTGCTGTGATGCTGCGCGCAGGCCCGCCGGCAGTCCCTGCCGCAGGCGAGGCTGCCGAGGCCCTTGTTCCAGGTCAGACCCCTAATGAGCCTGTGTATT